TTTTTTTTTTTTTTTTTTTAAGAAAGTGATAAGAAAGATGATCAGAGAATGATCATCAATTATTTTTTATTAATTCTCAATTTTAACCATATTATTCTCTTAATTAAATTCATATAATCATAATATTAGGAAAGATAATATTGATTTATGACCTGATTTTTAAAAGAATTCCACGAGTTTGATATTTTTGTGCTAGTTATGATTTTTTCTCGTCTAATTTCCCCTTCTTTCTATCCAGTGAAGTTTGGAGCCCGAAGGTGAAAAGGTGCTTGTTTGACCAAAGCCCAATTACAATCAGTTGAATAAATTTTGAGAAACTTATAAAAATAGCCCTAAAATTAGGATTGTTTTGAAAAATTATATGAAAAGTATTTTGAAAGGAAAAAATAATGTAGAAAATTAAGTATCACTTTTTAAAGTTAAGTGTGACTTTTTTATTAAAAAATGACATACAATGTCACTTTTATTAAAAAGTGATGTTCGTCACTCAAAAAAGTAATAGAAATTTAAACAAAGTAACAGAAAAAAGTGACACTAAAAAGTGACAGAAATTCAAAAAAAAAAAAAAGTGACAAAAAAATGACAAAACACCAATTAAAACATTGAAATCAGTTCAACAAAGTGACAGAAAAAAAGGCAACACAACCACCGTCCCTTCTCTTTCTTCATTCACCACTAGACATCTTTAAATCAGCTTACCAACAAAACACCAAGCAAAACCATCAAGCATCTTTAAGTTCAAAGTGACAAAAATTTCAAAAAAAGTGGCTAAAGATGAAAGAAAAGGTGAATAATACTTAAAAAGTGACAAAAATTCAAAAAAGTAACAAATATTCAAAAAAGTAACAAAACTCAAATAGGGGGCTAGCGTTAAAAGCCTACCTATTATTTTCATTGGCTGGATGGGGGCCAGCGGGCCAGGGTTAAAAGCCGTTGGGTCCTTCCCTGTAAAACTTGAAAAATGATGACTTATATAAATTTCCCTAAAGTAAGGGGTCAATTCAAAAATCATAAGAAAAATATTTTGAAAGTAAAAAATATTGTGTGAAGTAAAGTGTGACTTTTTAATTAAAAAGTGACATACATAGTCATTTTTTTATTAAAAACAATCTAATGTCAATTTTCAATTAAAAAGTGACGTACAATGTAACTTTTTTGGTAAAAGCGAAGAACTAAAAGGTGATGCATAATGCTGCTTTTTAAAATTCAAAAACTGCCGAAAATTAAAAAATTGATTAATATGAAAAAAAGTGATAGAAATTTAAAAAAAAAGTAACAAACACTCAAAAAATGAGAAATAAAAATCAAAACCTAAAAAATAGATCCAAGAATGATTAATTTTCTTCTACGTGTTGTCTCTTTATAAATATGTTTTACTTTTTGTTAATTAATAAAAAATAGATCCAAGAATGATTAATTTTCGTCTACGTGTTGTCTCTTTATAAATATATTTTACTTTTTGTTAATTAATCATGAGAAATAACTTCATTTTATGAACACAAAACCCTATAAGCTGAAAGTGACAAATATTCAAAAAAGTTATAGAATTCAATAAAGTGACAAATTATGTTCGTTTTTATATAATTTTTACAGTTGTATAAAAACGAAATTGTAAAGATTCGCCGAGTTGCTCAATAGAATATACATCAACTAACAACAAAATCCAAGCAAGAGTTCGTAGATACTGCCTAATATAGAATGTCATATGATCACCAATAAATCAAACTATTAAACAGTGATATATACTCATTTTCAAGTCCATTAAAGATTTTAATCTTACTTCAAATCCACAGGGAAAATAATACGTGAACAGATTTACCAGAAGTCTAGAAA